CGAGCCCATGGCGCGCTCACCACAGGGTCGGATCCTATATAGGGATGGCCGGTGTGCTCACTGGCTGAGTGTGGTGTGGGCAACACCACGCCAAGGGTTGTGATCCCCTTACCGGTCACAAAAAAAAAAAAAAAAAGAAACATTTGGTTGCCCTGTGCCTGTCTCCACCTTGTACAACAGGATGGCAATTAGAGGACCTACCTCCTTCGCCTACCAAGATTACGAGCACATGGAACTATACTCAGCACACTGTACACACTCAACAAAGGGCTGTCATCAAGGCCCCTCCCCTTAATGGCCCACTGTGATCACCCTCCAAAGACGACTCTGACAGCTCTCAGGACGGCAAACCCCAACCCTCACCTCCCATCTGCACCCATACCTTGTCCACCAAGTCTTTCTCAGGAACTTCAATTGTGTCCTGCTGGGCCCCAAAGCGGTTGCGTTGATATGTCACCTGCTCTGCTACTAACTGCTTCAATATGAAGAGCAACAGCTCATTGTTATCTCGCCGGAATGAAAGATAGCGGGCAAAAGTCTGCAGGAGAAAAGCCAGCGTCAAACGCTACCCCATCCCCTCCGCCACGCTCTCGTTGCCACGGGCTCAGAACAGTGGGCAGGGAGTCACCCCTGCTCCCAGCAGCACATCAGAGCTGGAGGTCCAAGTCAGAGTCTCGAGGTGCCCACCTGTAGCCTCCTGTGCTGAGCTGGCCCTTCAGGCCAGGCGCATAGGGGCCCCATGCCACTCTGCTCGTACCTACCTTCCGCATGCTGCGCATGACACTGAACTTCTGTGTGTCGATGAAGCTCTCCAGCATCACACGGATGGCCATGTTGACATCGTCTTCTATCACATAGTCCCGCAGGTGGATGCGTGCATGGGCCTCTGCCATACGGATCATGGACTCGATGTGCCGCACTGTGATGGGGATGCTGCCTGTGGCCTGGGGAGAAGCACAGCATCAGGTCTTCCTCAGGCAGGACAGAGGCAAGGAAAATAAGGTGGACTCCTAGCAGCCAGAACCAAGAGGACTCATCTAACAGCCACGGCAGAGGTGCTCGGCGGAGACACCAGGTGAAGTCATGCTGCCCACGCCTTCTGGAGATGTGGATGCTGAATGCACGCAGCTTGTCCCTGCTGTGCCCGCACAGCTCTGCTTCTACCTGCTGACCTGAATGAGTCTCAGAGCCTGTTATATTCGTGGCCAACTGTACTAGTTATTCTCACACACTAAATACTGCATAATCCAGTGCAATGTAAGTGGAGAAAAAAGTTGTTTCTGTGAAAACTAAGTTGAATGCTCTGAAAAGACTTGGTAAAATTAAAAGTAAAAAGCAGAAACAAAAGGAAGGTGCTATCTTGACTGGGTGTGGACGAGACAGAGCAATGAACAAGAATGTGCATCCCAATCGCTTGTGTGCTGCCTTTAAACGAGCAGACTGAACCTAGTGCAGACCTCATGCTCCTGCAGGTGGGGTTCTCAACAATCACGAGGCCTTGGCCCTGCACCGAGACAGACAGCAAGTGCATGCCTGAGTCTCATCTAGAACAAAACGGTCAAGGTGTACAAGCATCACTGTTTTAACACCTTCCTGCACTGACACCGTGGACTGACTGGCACTTGCCCCCACCAGCCTGTGTGTCCCTCCCTGTGGCCCCCAGGCCGCCCGTCTCTCACCATGGACTCTTTCCTCAGGTCACTATACATCTTGGCCACCTTGTCCTGGTCCATCTGGTTGATCTTGGGGTGGACCTTCTCCTTGGCGTAGATGATGTACTTCTTCAGCACCTCCTGGGGCAGAGGCTCCACGCCGTGTGTAGTGGGCATGGCAGGCTCTGGGGCACTGCCATTGGCCAGCCCCTCCTCGTCCTTGTTGCTGGGGTGGTGTCTGACGTGGCTGCCAACCACAAAGCGGGCCAGCATCTCATCCTAAGGCAAGACGTGAGGGGCGGTTGTGAGGGCAGGCACATGGCGGGGCTGGGAGGACGTCAGCCAGCTGGAAGGCACGAAATGCCGTCCACGGGAGCTGTGACAACGGCGTTCTCTCAATGGCATCCTCGTCCCATCCACCATGTGCCAGGCAGCTCTACATGCCCAGGGCATGTGCACCGGTAAAAGTGACAAAGCCCTCACGGAGCTCACCTCCTAATGAGGGACAGGAGACAAATACAGTTGTAAAAATTAGTAAAAGTATCATGTGCTAAGAAGAAAAACAGGACGATGGG